ATATATGGTTTGCTATAGGCTTGGCTGTGGCCAAAGCCACTGCATATGCCACCCGGGATGGGCAACTTTTTCAGGTTGCTCCCATCCCACAGTTCCTTTCTGCAGAGACAGACCCATCTGGGCCTTGGAATTTCACTGATGGGAAAAATAGACCTATGGCTGGACTTGAACTGTCTAGGGCAGTATTTCTCAACCTTAGCAACTCCAAGATGTGTTAAAGTCCCATCTTCGAGTTCCAAGGTTGAGAAACACTGATGTACGGTCACATACATGTATATGTCCTCTAGTATTCATATACATAACTGAACAAAATATTGCAGCATTTGTGCTTCTACATGAAAAATGGAGCTATACACCTTTTTTTTGTTCCCCCTTTCTTTTGTTTGTTTTAGTAGAATGTTCCTGCTTCTAAAACTGTACTTTAATCCTGGGCAGGATGTGTAAGAAATATCCTTAGGATATGAAAACATCTTAAACAGTCACGGTCAGTCATAAACTTTGTATTTTTATAGAGGAAAAAAGCTTTGGAAGTAACAGGCATTTCACAGTCCATCGCTATTATTGCCTGCTTTCACCAGACATAGTGAATTTTCAGACCTTTCAGTCTTACAAACTTGACCATTTAACACAGAACAATAGACAGCAGATGAATTCTGGAAAGTTAATAAGGAGCTTAACTCTCCTTTAGCCCAATAGAAATGAAATACAGTCTCCCTTCTCTCTGCTGATGGAGATCCTTGACTTTTTCTTAAGAAGGGGTAATTACCCCTTGATTCATTTTCCTTGAATTGAACATTTAATAGAACTTATTTTTAGCACTGCTCCTATGCAACTCAGGTTGAAATAAAATGTTTTATTTCCTTCAAGGGACAATCTTTTCGAAATCATTTCTCAAGGCCAGCTACTAGCAGTAGCACTGTCACAACCTCATTATTACGGACTTCATGTTTTGAAATTTATTCAGCACCTTTGCAAGCGTGGCCTTAGGAAGCCTCTGCAGGACCAGTTATTCTTCCCAGGATTTATATGAAAGCATGAATAGAAATTAGGCACAGCCAGGTAGGACTAGAATGAAAACAATCAGACAAGACTGACACTAACTTCACGACAGGTCAAAAGTGAGTAATAGCTCAATGCACCACTGAACAAAGGAAAAGGACAAAACAGAAATTACAGCTAAAATACCATGCCAGAAACTTAAGACTGCTGTTGGGAGATCACTTTATCCGGCTTTGAACTATCTGGGTATAATGCAAGGAAAGCAATGTGCCTAAGAATAGGATACATACACACACACTACAAAGGAAACATACTGGGTAAAAGATGAGCACAGAAGCTGTAAACAAAAAGAGTGCATTTGAATTTGAACAATGAGGTAGAAGACAACAGACGCAAGAACTATGGAACCATCTCAACAGATGTTCAGGACTTGATTAACCATCAAGCCATCTGATCAAGCTATCTCACCATCAATACTTTCAGCTACACTGGAGCAGCTAGCCATTTTTATTATAGGCTGTAGTTTACTACTGTCCTTGTACTATACTTCTTGGAAACCTTGCTGTTGTCCTTACTGTAATAGGCAGGGTGGCTAAAGATGGGAACAAGAAATTAATCAGCATTAAGGCTCCAATTCTGTACTTGGTTTAGGGGAAAGAACCCTGTCTAAATCTTATCTGTTTTAGTGGAAGGGCAGGACTAAGCTGTCCACTGGCTTTTTTGTCCTCCCAAACTTTAGAACTTAACTTTGGTTTTACAGCAGTGGTGTCACGTGGTTGTTGTAAGTGTTAATGTTTCAGCTGTAGTAAATTATCTTCAAGTATGCTGTCACATACTTCATTAAAATAATCTTCTAAAGTAAACTATTACTCTTACCCCAGAATAGCAGTGGAAAAGTTGAAGTGCCTTGCCGAAGGAAGGTCTAGCCTGAGGCATGATGAGAACTGAGAACTCGAACTTCTACTCAGAGCCATGCTATTGCATGAAATAACCGAGATGCTGGGTGAGTACTGTTACAAGCTGGAAAGTGCAAAATTCCCTGAGAGATACGCGTAGTCTTATCAAAGCTCTTTGCGCTCTATTGAAATTCCTTGGCTGTTCTACCCAAGCAGGAAATTTCAAAATCACCTTGAAATGCCCTTCTAGATCAAACTCAGTAGCAGCTAGGAGATATGTAGATACAGCCAATGTATGTATTGTTACTTCATTTTTTTTATTGTGACAATACAATGGAGATTTCAATATCAATTAATTTAGCTTAAGACCAAAACCTTTATTATATAACAAATACTTTGATGAATGTCACAGTGTGTTCTTCTTTCATCTCTTCCTTTCCAATGCTATATTTAACTTTGAATGGAAAAGCCAAATAATTATAACGCTCGTAACATTGATATCCTAAATTGTAATTAATATCGATAGAATACACACTTTTTTCTTTTTCTCTTCATTATTTCAGTACTCTAAGGTACCTAAGTAACAGAATATCAAGAATTTAATTATACTATATAAATATCATTCTATTGAAATAATACAATGTATTAAGATTTACAATAACACAATAAAAATATTGAGATGGCTCCAGTGTAATTAACACTTTCTCTTTGCCGAATCTCTCTTTAATTTTGTTTTAGCTGTGTGCTTTTATAATTTTAAAGTTTTTAATATTAATAACATTAATATGAATTTGTATATATGGTTTTTAACTTTGTTGTACGCCACCCAGAGTCACTTGATTGTGAGATGGGTATCCATATAAATAGGATGAATAAATATGACAAATGAAATACAAAAAGGAAAAAAAATACTGCCAACCTTTCTCCTTTCCAATTTGTTGTTTTGTATTTATTTGGATCATTTACCTACCTGAAGCCTCCAAGGGCCAAAGTATATGTTACACTGTTCCTTTCCAATGCTATATTGGAAGCATTTTTAATGCTTACAAGGCCTGCTTCTGTTTGGAAGGAAAAAAAGTGATGAGATTCCCAATCTACATTAGACAGGGACTGCTCCAGATGGACTGTTCCCAGCCAGGACAACACTTCTTTGCTTAAAACTGCTTCTCCCTGGCTGCTCTTTGACCAAATGTGGGGTTTTCAATAAACAATAATTTCAGGGAGAAAGGGAGAATGGAAGTGATGAAATGAACATCATTTGCTTGCCTGCAGGGGAGCCACTTTTATTCTTCTGCGGCTGTTTTGGATTGTTATGAGGGCCTCCAGTGCCAATAAAGGTGTTTCTCAACTCTTTATTGGCATAGATTCTATCCCTTTTTGTAACTGCTCACAGGGCGCTGTGGATTAGGAATCTGCCCGGCTCATGTTTTTGCATTTCTAGAGGAGTCTTTCATTTAAAGCCATCTTTTAGCTTTTGTCCTCTGAAATGGAAAAGAAAAGAGCCTTCCGTCATATAATTGGGGACAATGGCGCTTTGCTGCCTATAAAAAAACTATTCTTCTCTTCAAAGTTCCCTTAATCTTTACTGTCCTTTATTTCTGAATTGGGATGTCACCTTAAGAAAGATGGAGCATCTTCAGATTTATATTATGAATAAAACAACCAGTCAGTTCCTAGACGTCCTGAATGCTAACTATGAATTTCACAGTTGATGGATTAGACCAAAAGTTAATGATGTGCAGCATGAATACTTCATGACGATCAGTGGAAGTGTTTAAGTGAAATACTTCAGTGATCTTCTCTGCTTTTTTATTGTGCATTTGAATCTACCGATGCATTGTTTTGGGACCCTGCTTAGGATGTTTCGTGTCTTAAACAGATACTTTAGGATTAAGAAGCTCTGCAATCATGGTCATCTAATGTTAGTAGTTATTTTTCCAAAAGTTTGGTGTGACCATGACCCTAACCAGCGGCACAGCAAAAATAATGAGAAGCAATTCATAATTGCGTGATTTGCGATGGTCTCTCAGGACTTCTTGCTTGTCACTTGGAACATAAGAAGCTGTAGTCAACTCTGCCTGCCACGTTTCAAGGATATGCTTTTATCCAGACACATTGATCCACTGAGCAATTTTTACAGATTTTAATTAATATTGTTAAACACATGGTATTAGCTAGTGATTCCCACTTATACACTAATATAGTCTTTTTAATAAAGGAAAAAGTTGAGTTGTGTAAAGCTAACGTACTCTCAGCCATTAAAAAACGTTTTGCCTTCTTCCTTTCTTCTGGAATAAGATTAATCACAAGAAAGCCGGCCTATTCATCTGTTCCTATAAAACAAGCTGATGCTCAAAATATGGGCTTCTTTGCAGTGAGAATGGCATCATCCATGCATAAAAGAATGACGCTGTCATAATAAGAAGGGGGGTGGATTCACATGCTACACTAAGCCATAATGTGATTTGTGTAGTTCAGTCAGTCTGCTGAATAAACCCACCACTGTGGATTTGTAAACAATGGTTTATGGCTTCGGGTAAGGTATAAACTTAGCCAATTATGGTTCATTTAGTAAACTGTGGTTAAGCAAATCAGGGCTTAATACTATGTGTGAACCCAGAAAATACAGTTGCCGTTTAGACTATTGCAACATGTCCCTGACATGGCATGTTCGGTTCTTTTATTGTCTTCTTTTCACACTGTGATGTTTTTAACTCTTGCTAGCCACCCAGTAACAGGCTCCTACCTCTCTCATTTCAGGCTGCCCTTGAGGAACCACTGTAGTTTTGTTACCAATACATGGTGGGAGAATAGCTATAAATTTCTTTCCTTATGGTTTATTTATGAGATTTATAACCTGCTGTGGAAAAATTATAACCTTTAACTAAGCCCAGCTAATAAACTTCTGCAGCTATAATGCTAGCTAAAATAAACCATCTCCTAAAGTCACTCCTCCCACCTCCCACTAGTAGCTTAGTTAATATACTATAAGATTAATTCATGCCTAAGAGAGTTTAAATAAAAAGTGAAAAATATATTTGTTGTAGGAATAAATTCAGGAACCAATATGATTAAATGAAAGATTTTAGGATAATAAATGTTATAATTTTAAAAAAAATCATACTTGCTATAAGAATAAAGAAATCACCTGTTTTTCATTGAATCAAAGTAAGGAGTTGGTTAGGCTGAATTTAACCTTCCATTATATAATTCACTGTCATCGGGATATTTTATTAACCCCCTTACATAATCTAGTGAATTTTTCTCTTTATCTCTCTACCTCATTTGCACTTACAGAATAGGTTTGGTTCCAGGACTGATGTCTTCTCTGAGGCTCAGTTCCTCTCTTCCCAGTCTCGTGGATGAGTGACAGCTGCAATGAAAACTTTGTTTTCATCTGGGTCAGTACCACAACACTGAAGGCTCTGATTTGAGATTCTCTTCTGCTTGCCTGCTGAGGTCTTCCTGTTTCCTTAAGTACAACACATTGAAAACTTTGTGTCAAAATTGAATGATTTTGGCTCCTTTCATTTCTAGGTCCATTTCTGGTCCAGAATGTTCTAAACTCAGTCTTAATCTCTTCAGTTCTCTCTGCTCTTTATCCTTTTGTGTTTGATTTATTTCTATTTTTTGTCTGCCCCACTCCACTTCTGTCAGGTTTTGAAAGTTCCCTGTCTAATCTTTTATTCTCTGTTAGTAAAAACTTGGAGCCATTAAGAATACCAATCCTTTGGACTCTTGTAATGATCAGTATAAATGTCAAACAGGGTCAGTTCTCCCATTGTCTCAAATGGTGGACCAAAAAGAGCAGTAGATAAGGTCTCCATCCATTACTGGAAGGGTTTCCATGATGTTTTTCCCCACTCAGCTAGCTATGGAGCACTACTTCCTTCCAGTGGCTTCTTATGCCTGACACTGAGGAAAAATCTGGTATAGAAAATGAAATTATATATGCAAGACCCACTCTCCAGTAATGAAAAAAGAAGGAGGCAGTGTCAGAAATTGTACATCCTTCAGCAAGAAGGTGGTCTGTACCCATCTTTAATCCTAAGGATATTCACATTCAGTACTGGTAAGTGCCAAGGATTGTGACCACCTTAGCAACTGTAACCAAGGCTTCAGTTAGCAATCAAGGTTCCATACATTGTTACCTTTCTGCTGTGGCCAAATGAGACATATTTTTCATCTTCTTTTCACACTAAGGTATTTAACCAAAGAATAAACTATATAAGCATCTCTGAAGAGCTGTTTTTTATATATTTAAAAATAATAGAATGCTCATATCTGGCAAATTAGATAGATAGATGGCTAGATATAAAGATAGGCAGACAGACAGACAGAAAGTTGGCTGGCTGGCTTTAAAGAAAAACATTATGTGTTTTATGTTATATAGCAACATAAAATCACAGCCATAACATTGGTATTTCAAAATCAACACAAAGCTAAAATGACTGTAACCATCTTGATACAGCATTAAAGATTTCAGATCCTAAATGAACTGAAATAAATCCTTTTGCTAGGAGATAATTTTGAATGTTTTTTTTCCAACTGCTGCCACGTATCATTTGATTCTGTTGGTGATTCATGTTTTGTTTTCTTTAATGTAGCTTTGTTCCTGTTGTAGTATGTTTTACATTTAATTGTTGAACTGTATTTTCAGAAGCTGTTTGTTAGCTATCTCAAAGAAATATAGATATAATCTAATCTTTATCTATCTATCTATCTATCTATCTATCTATCTATCTATCTATCTATCTATCTATCTATCCACATATATACATACATACATACACTAGACAATCCTGTGACCCATTGGGTGATCCTTTGAGAGAAAAGTACTGCAGTCTGATGTGACCAGAATGAACATTAAATTTTAGGCTGACCATTTTTTTTTCCTACCCCATAGCTGGATGGTCCTGTGATCATCTAAGAACAGCATATATCATAAATAGAAAAAGAATTGTAGTGGCAAGCAAGCTTCAATAATAAGTCAATATTTACTTAACCTAAACAAATAAACAGAATGACCACAGGCAAACAAAAAAGCAGTGGGAGCAGGAGTGACTC